ATCTAGCCCTGATTGGGATAATAGTGCAAATAGTATTTAACTGCAGTGACCAGCCCTCTGGCCCAGTAAGCAGGGCGCGTGGGCCACCGTGTGGCTTCTGCAGCTTTTCTTTGCACTGATCATTAGTGCTGAGCATTCTGATAGGCTGCAAAGAGAGCATTTCCTGTCTCGCTGTGTTTCTAGCCAATATGTAGGATATTAAAATGTAAGGAAACTAAGATGCACACACCAGCCCTGGAGTGTCACTGCATGGTAGTGCTAGTACTAATTCTAGTTAGACTTGAAGTAGGAGTCTAGAGCTAGATCAGTTAATTCAAATTCCATGTGTCTCTGCATAGCTTTTGAATTGTAATTGAGGGGAAGAAAAAAGCCTGAGTGAATAATCTATTTTTACTTTAATTCATTTGCCAGCAATGTGGGCTTAAGAAGCTTCTTAAGAATTAAGACAACTGTTTTTGTTCAGTTAGTTTTATATGTTGTGCAACATAGTCCAGGCTGACCCTGAACTTGAAATCCTCCTGTCCTCAGGTCCCAAATGCTGACATTACAAGCATATACCACCACACCTGGCTCAAGAAAATAATTTTAAAGGTATAGCTGACCATAACAACAAAATATACAGGTCTTCTTATCAGATACAGAAGTTACATTTCTTGTTATATAGGTCTTGCTTTAGCTTGGTCTTAACCATCCAGCAGAAAAGTATAAAAATGAAGTATAAAAGTAAAGCCATATTAATATGCTGAGCTGTAAAAGGCTCAAGTCAACAACTTCTGACATTGCCAGTCTTATGGAAAACCCACTACTATTATGGACTACTGAACTATATTGGAATATTTTGCTGAATTCACACACCTACAATATTTAAATGACAATGGAATATCCTTCCCTGACAAAACTAAACAAAAAAGAGGGATACAAATAAACAACCATTTTGTATCTGTATATTCAAAATAGGATAGATATATAGCTGTCTTCTCTTAATTCAATGAATAGACAGATTTGTTCTAATAGTGTTTGTAGACAGGATATCATGTCTGCATCTTGTACAATGAATAACCACTAAGACAACAATATGTAATGTGTTAATTATTGAAACTGTACTAGTAATCGGTTTTGAAACTGTCTCATTACTATTTGTTTCTCAATATAATTATTTTAAAAGAAAGATACAGGTCTTTGTAATAAAGAGAATATACTCATTAAAGGGATTTAGATGGTCAAACTTTTCAATTAAATTATTGCAAACCTAACGATGACAAAGGTTGTTAAATGTTTTAAAATGCATTCAAAGTTTCAGTCTCTAGGAAGGAGCTAGTTCTAGGTGATCCAAGAGAACCAGAGTAACTTAAAAACTATGCTTCAGGCTTTCTACTGGGAATGAAAGTGCAGCTGGGCATGGTGGTGCAGTCTCAACTGTAGCTTCAGCTATTCAAGCTACTCTCAGCTTACTTCTGTCAGTTTGTTCAGAAAGAAGAACTGTGATATACAGCCTCAAGAGGCTGAGGCAGGATGACTTGAGTCCACTAGTTCCAGGACAGGCTGGCAAGCACACTGATAACCTGTCTCAAAAGAAAAAAAGGGAAAGAGGGAGGGAGGGAAGGAGGGAGACAGAAACAGAAGACAGAGACACAAGAGACAGACAGAGATAGACAGGAAGAGGCAGAGGAGGAGGATAGGAAGAAGAGGGAAGGAAGGGAAGGGAAGACAAGGGGAAAGGAAGGCAAGGGAAGGGAAGGGAAGGGGAGAGGAGGGGAGGGGAAGGGGAAGGAAAGGGAAAGAATTGAGTGAATGAGAAAAGAAGATGGAAGGCAAAGTCAAAGAAGACCAGCTGATTAAGGGGAAGGAAATGGTGGCTTTCTGAAGGAAAACAAAATAAAACAAACAAAAAAAAAACCCCTCTGATTTTAGAGGAAAGGAAGGGGAAAATTATAATTTTAAGGAAAAGATGGACAAACCTAAAACAGGCAACTTTCAGGGTATTAAAGAACGTTCTTCCAAAAGGTAGTAAACATGAGGACTATATTAGATGTTATTAGTCCCCACTTAAGGGAGGACTGTTGAGTGCCTCTGCCCTAAAAAATAAGTACTGTAGTAGACACATATTGTAACCTGGGAATAAATCAATACATTTATGTGTTTGTGCATATGTGCATGTGTGTGTGTGTGTGTGTGTGTGTGTGTGTGTGTGTGTGTACATAAGTACATTAACAGCATGGTGTGCTCTGGACTTTGAAATTTAGTGGAAGCTCCTAAAATTTTTGCTTAGCCTTAAATGAGCATATCAGGAATGAAGTCATTGACACCAGAGGCACTATGTTATAAGTACACTGCTCTGAGGGTCCCCTAGGAGCTAGCATCCCTACTCCATCCCCTATCCCTGGCATATCACCCAGGCCCTTGATTATGCCAAGTGTTTACCACCAAGCTACATCTTTACAACTGTTTTGCCACTTTTCTATTATCCTCACCATGCTGAATCTTGGAAAAAAAAATCTAACTTTCTTTTTCTGGTCTTTATCATCTTAGGGCTGGTTTTGAGGTTGCACTAAGAGTAGAGGGTTTTAGACGCTCCTAAAAACTATTTTGCATAGCAGTACAATCTTTAACCATTGGCCTATATTAGTTCTGTCTCTTAAAAATTCTTTTAATCTTTCTCTCTCTAATCCCCATTATCCTTATGTAAACACACAATTCAGGAAAAACATCTTTTCAAAATAAGTTGATTTCTATTAGAACACAAAACTAAATCCTGTTGTCGTTCTATTAAATTTGCATACAGCTCCTGGAACTTTTTTTTTGCGGTACCAGGGATTGAACTCAGGACCCCACGCTTGCTGCGCAAGTGCTTATTTACTGAGCTATCTCCCTGACCGTCCTGGAACTTCTTAAAGGGAATGTCTACCAAACACTATTAATCTTCTACTTTTGTTATAAATCTTCCCCTAGATCAGTTAGTAGTTTTAGCTTTTTTCATAGTACAAAATAAAAGCCAACTTTTCAAAAAAGATTGTCTCAATACTCCTATCTATCACTGTGTGCTAGGTTTACATCTAGTACTGACAATATTTATTGTGTGCTCTTTCTTCATCTCCAACATAATATCTACATTTACCTGCAACTGTTGGTGCTCCTGAGAGTTATGTGGCGCTACTAGCAGATACAGTAGGGAGATCTGCTCCATCTGGTAAGGGCGGTCATAACGTTTCCCTTAAACGATTCTTTAGCTCTGATAATTATGTATTTAACAGGCAAAAATGTATGGTAGAATGCCAGGAGTGAAGGTGAATAGGTTTTGTTCAGAAAGAAAGATACGTGCGACAGAATCTGAGAGGGG